GTTTAATTTAAGAATTGAGGTATTATTCATGGTGATTGTGCATATTTTTTGCTTGGCAATCTATTGTGCGATTCTAACCTAGATTAGAGAGAATTCCCCTTATTTTAAGAGACTCAAAATTGAGCTGGGTTTTCTTAGACATTTCATGCCTCCTAACTAGGTTAATGAAGGGCAAACCTCTACTTGAATCAGTCACCTAGATTAATTGTGATTATGTCGTCCAAGCCTTGGTTTAAGGGAGAAGGTACGTCAACCCTCAATTGCTTGTGCCAAGAGGGCTACAATTGTAGCCTCTAATACTTTCCTTGGCCTAGCGATGGAGAGGATTGTTTCCAACCATTGTTGCACCTCCTACGGGTCACAATTGTCTCGTCACACACCGGTTCATTCGATCCCACGGTTCATGGTAGTTAGTTCGGGGAAGCAATACTCGAGTGAAGCTTCTCACCAACAGTTTTCGACCCATTTACTTTTCAAAGTCTTGCTTTTAAATCGTAGATTGTAGAGATTTTAACAAACAACAATTCGCTAGATAATATTTCAAACAATCAAAGTAGGGGTACATGGGTCCGCCCAAGTTGATATTTAACATACTCGCCCTATATTGCACCCATCTAAGGTTTATACTTCGATCTTAAGTGGAATATTATTGTGATAGTCGGAGCGAGTCAGAAATGCAGTTTATGAAAACATACGCGTTATTTTATTTTGAATTTGAGTAGAGCATTCCAGCCGCCAACGAGGAGATGCGGGAGTAGGCGGCAGAGGGACTTCAGGGAGACTGGCGGTCTGGGTGCTTCTGAATTAGTTAGGGGTTTTGTTTTTATAATTAATTGATTTTGGTCATAAATAAGAAAAAAATAATATTGAAATTAGTGTTGCTAAACGAGGGGAAGTTGGGTCATTTTCCAGTCTTTTAACGATCACGTAATGAAAAATTAGATGAAACGGTAAACTTGTTACGATTTAATATTAGAAGGGTATATTTGTGCAAAAATTTAGTAGAGTGGTACGTTTGTTAATTTACCAAAGTAGAGGGGTACAAAATGCTATTAAACCAAAATTAAAAAAAAAAAAAAAAACTCTGCCGATGTTCGGATCGTCGGCGAGGGGTAATGGAGTAACAACGGAACTGTGACTTTCAAGAAAACAAAGAGAATTTACAGCCTCTGTTATTTGGAGCGTACAAACATAGCATAATTACCACGTGTAATGTTCTCTCTGGATTCATGTAACAGAGTCTCATTCTTCACTAGATTAGTGGCCCGCCCGATGGGCGGTGTAGTTTGTGAGTGGAGTATTGTGTAGCTATTGTATTTTTTTCATTTTGACAAAGTAGGTATGATATATTTTATCTAGTTTCAGATACTATATAAGTGATCTCATTTAATTTGGTAAAGCTATGAATGAAACCAATAAATAACTAAATCATAATGAACAATTAAAATATAAAACTCATTTCTCAAGTATAAGGGTATATATGAGGAAAATAAATTATATAAGAATTAAGCATATTGACTACAAAAATACCCTTCGGTAATGTACTGAATAAGAATATAATAGTTTGACAATTAAGTAATAGTCCATTCGAATTGTAACCAAATCGGTTTTATTGTTTCAACTTGTTAATACATACTTGAAACGAATATATGTACATTATTTTCAAATTCGGTTTCATTGTTGAATACTTGAATACTTGTTGGAGGACACTCCCATCAGGATAAGTGTCCCTATCCTAAAAAAGGATTAGACCGCAAAATTAAGATTCGTGGAGAGATAACCCTTAATCTTTTATTTCTATCCTACTGAAAATCTTGACCATGATTAGCCAAGAAAACAGATAGTATAATGATAAAATATCAATGTTATTATGGTGTGATTAAACTAATAGGAGGATGTAAGTTTTAATCTCCTTATCAATGATTTTTTATGGTTATTGGTTTAATGAAATTTTCATTAAACTCAAACAACCTATAATAATTACTTACCAATTATTATGTGCAACTATCACTATAATAATTACTTACCAATTATTATGTGCAACTGTCACTAAACACAATTTAGTATTACTGTATTAGCATTATAACAACACTAATCGTATTATTATACTATATTTTCCTGCAAAATGAAAAAGAGACTCAGTCTCAAAATAGCATACCCTAAGTTGTTCAAATTTTATTCGATGTCCGAACAACTTAGGCATACTCTAAGTTGTTCAACACTAACAGTTTCATTTCATTTATTGTTTTTCAGGGCGAAATTTAATATTGGGTTTTACACAATCCTATTAAACATCTACGTCGAATTATTAGCATAATTATACATCTCCTTTTATTTTGTAAAAAACATATATTTTATCAAGTAAATTCTACCTTTTTCGGTTGCATATAAAATATATCTTTTTTACTTTTCTTTTATTCTTCTTCCTTTGCCTCTCTCTCTCTCTCTCTCGTCAATTCTGCACATCAGTTCCATATTAGGGATTTGCATCCCATCTCTTTCAATCAATCCATGCCAAATTTACAATCTTCTCAGCTTTAGGATTGGTTTCTTCTTTTCCTCTCTGGACGATCTAGTTTAATTGCTACGGTTAGGATTTGGGTGTTTAATTTTCAATCTTTTCAAAAGAGATGGAGCATAGTGGAAAATCGACGAAGGGTAGATGGAGCAGAGTGGCAAGGAGAGAAAATTCAAAACTTCATGACAACATGGTTCGATTGCATGCAGTGATGTTTATCGAGTCCGATCGGGTCCTGACGGCATTGTAGGAGTGATTGGAGGCGGAGATCAAGAGGCAAGAGATAGAGAGGCTGAGCTTTGTTTAAAAAGAGGAGAGCGAGCGAGAAAGATGGAACACGAAGGATAAAAGGAAAGAGATATGAAATTACGGATGGAACCCTCCGTTTTGTGCGGTTTGGCGAGGAAGTGTTGATGTGGCAGAACTTATATTTTGACATTGTCTTATAGGTACTAGGGAACATAGTTAGTAAATACTCCGTTTAATACACGTATATGTACCCGTATGTACTTTATCCGTTTAAAACTTCCGTATCCGTATTATTGTCAAGCCGTTTCATTAGTTCCCGTTCTTTTGACGGCTCCCGTACTAAACACGTATAAAACCCGTATAACACGTTTAATATCCGTATTTAATAAAATAAATTAATAACTTTACTATTTTTTACATGTTTATTTATTTATAAAAATAATTAATTTTATATATTTATGACTATTAACATACTATTAAACGTAACATTAGCTAAGAGACGAAGTAAAATACCCGTACGTATTTTATACGTAACTTTCCCGTACCGTATTTTACTAACTATGCTCGGGAAAGGTCCTCTCAATGCTCTAACGCCCACACCGGATATAGACCGAACTGTCTCACGACGTTCTGAACCCAGCTCACGTACCGCTTTAATGGGCAAACAACCCAACCCTTGGAACATACTACAGCCCCAGGTGGCGAAGAGCCGACATCGAGGTGCCAAACCTTCCCGTCGATGTGAGCTCTTGGGGAAGATCAGACTGTTATCCAATTGGCCGGATAAATTCATTTTATTATTTATATTAGTTAACTTATCTACATGTTTGAACTTTTTAGATCTTGTATACATTTTCCGCTCTGAGTTCATAAGTGAATATGTGGTATGCTTATATCGAAAATTCTTAATATTTAATAGTTAGCACACTCGCTTGTGATGTTTTTATTCTTTGATCATAAATCATGTTGTAAAGGTTTATCACGCCCCATTTAGGATCGGGACCAGTTACGGTAACAACACCCCTTGTGTTGTTATTGTAACAACACTAGTCTCCAACCAATAGGAAGCTAGGATTGTGATGACTTTTTATTAGATGAGTTGACCTAGTGTAAAATCAAAGCAGGGGTATAATTGTCATTATGAAAAATCTGTTTAAATAATAAAAAAATAAAAAAATAAAAAATATTTTTTATTTTCTGCCCAAAAATTTGGTCGCCGGAATTCTGCCACCGGTCGCCGGAAACTGGTCGCCGGTCACCGGAATATGCTTTTTGTCGCCGTAATATACTATTTTGTGGCCGGAATATGCTTACCGGAGTCGGAATATGCTTACCGGCGTCGGAATCTAGTCATCGGGGCCGGAATATGCCTATCGGCGTCGGAATATGCTGACTGACGGTCACCGGAGTTCGGTCAACGAACTTCGTTGACCGGTCAGCGGTCTTCGTTGACCGGTCAGCGGTCAACGACCACCGGATGTATGGTCTGTATTGTGAGATTTATGGTTTGGTTTCTCATATTTTTGTATGCCTTTTGTGGTTTGATTTATCGTGTTTGTGGTTTGCATTAAGAAGTTTCTGGTTTGCTTTATCGTGTTTGTGGTTTGCATTGAGAAGTTTCTGGTTTGCTTTCAAAAAATTTGTGGTTTGCTTTGCGGGATTTCTGGTTTGTTTTAATATCTTTGTGGTCTGCATTAGGACGTTTCTGGTTTGTTTTTGTGGTTTGATTTACTGTGTTTGTGGTTTGCATTAGGAGGTTTCTGGTGTGTTTTTTAAATTCTGTGGTTTGCTTTGCGGGGTTTCTGGTTTGTTTTAGTAGAATTTTGGTCTGCATTAGGACGTTTCTAGTTTGTTTTTGTGGTTTGCTTTATCGTGTTTGTGGTTTGCATTATGAGATTTCTGGTGTGCTTTTGCAAATATTGTGGTTTGCTTTGTGAGGTTTGTGGTTTGTTTTATGAGATTTGTGGTATGCATTAGGAGGTTTCTGGTTTGCTTTTTTGTGGGTTTTTTTTTATCACGTTTATGGTCTGCATTAGGATGTTTCTGGTGTGTTTATTAAAGACTAGTGATCTGCATACCGATAACTCCTAAATGCATATCATAAACACAATAATAAGCTAAAATACATAAAAAAAAGGCGATTGATATAATGAGCTCTACAATAATTAGGTCAAAACTTGGATCCATCCGGTATCCAGAACCCCATAAACACGAGGTAAGCAATAAAGTATACAGTATACAGAGAAGGCATTGTCTTAGAGAGAAAGTGCTCAAACAAACTGAGTGAAGGAAATAAATTGAAGAGAGGTGCAGTAGAGTCTCCCAATTGAACAGTAAAAAAGCCTAACCACTGAATAACATGAACAACAATGATGCGTTGAATTGTTGTGTTGTGACAATCAATCCAGCCGCTGCAGGGTATGGGGTGTACGAGCAGTTCAAGGTACGTAGGGTTGGCTGTTGGCAGAGCAACGAGTGCGCGATTTGCGGGGAGGAGTTCACCTCCGGGCAGGCGCTCGGCGGGCACATGAGGAGGCACAGGGCGAGCAACGCCGAGAACCAGACGGCGACGGGGGTGGTGACGGCGACGGCGGCGGGTATTGTGGACACGAGCGCCGCGGTTAATTATGAGGATTTGAATAACCAGCAGAAGAATCATGTGTTGTCGCTGGATCTTAATTTGCCGGCGCCGGAAGATCTCGACTCCCACCAACATCACCGTGCGGAGCAGTCTCCGTCCAAGTTCCAGTTCGCGTCGAAACAATCGACGAAGGCGATGATGTTCTCGGCTCCGGCGTTGGTCGGGTGCCACTACTGATCGGAAACAGAAGAGAGAAGGAAGATGAGGTCTGATGCGGGATTAGGGTGGGTTTGAATTTTAATTTATTTTATTATTTTCAGTATAAATTTACCTTTTTGCCCTTAATGAATTTTATTGTTATTATAACAACAAAAAGAGTGTTGTTATACTATCCGGACCCTTTAGGATCATATATAATTTTTTTTTTTCAACCAAGACGCTCAAATTTATTATCTTATACAACATATATCAATTCATGATTCTCGAATTTGTACGAACTCTCAGCCAATTAATCAGAGTTCAAATTATTGAAAAAAAGATACTTGATTACTAGATAAATTATGTTTATCCCAATTAAAATTTGACACACATCGTATCCCTTATAATGATTAAATTCTCTAAACCTCATTCATTTTATTGTTGATGTTCATGAAGTCTTTGTATAGCAACTTATGACAATTTTTCTATCAAGATACAAATCATTATTATCTTACAATATATATCAATTGCTAATATTTTAAGTTTGGACTAACCCTCGACCCATGCGTTTTGTCTAGATGTTCGTTTAGAGTATGAATCCAAGGCATTCATATACACTATCGAAGGTTCTCATCTTAACATGTTCCTTCAATGTATAATTTTTCAATTATTTGAATGTCCATTCGCTAAAATTTCATTATATTTGGTGTTTGTTCTAGAACAAAAATTTCATTACTTATATTAATAATTGGTAAAGTGTGTATACGACAGACAAATATTTCAGGTGCATTCAAAATTATGTATTCCTTGAATAATTAACTTATAATTTTTTAACAAAATATTTTGTAGCAAAATTTAAAAGTTCATACAAACATTGTGGCTTTTCACATGTATTTAAATTATTGGATGTATTGTAGACACATCTGTTGTTAATATCTAAACATATATATACAGAGATTTTATTTTACTTTCAACACTAATTAATACTTTTGAACTCAGCTCCTTGGGTGGAATATAATATCAATTTTTTTTTTGTTATTGCCAAAATTTGGTATGAAATCACAGGCTCACAACTATATTGACTTGTTACAGTTTCATTACTAAACTCATATTTATTAAATATTCTTCTTTTGATCCAATAGCTCGGTTTACACTATTGTAACTATAAATATTTTTTTTGTTATATATGTGAAGTAAAACATTAATGTTGATTTATTACCTCAATCGTGAAATTTAGATTTTTCTTAGCATGAAATGTGATGTTTAACGTACATCCTTAACAAAGATTTCTCTAAATTTCACACATTTCATTTTTCAAGAGATCTCGTGTCTCATCCTAGAATATGAAGTCAAAGTTCATCAACTATTATACTCAAGTCATTTTGGAAACTTCAATTTATAATCTTTAACAATAAATAACTCCAAGTCTGAAAAGAAAATTTATTAGCATATGATGTAAGACCTCAATAGATCTTCTCAATCAACATGACCTAGAGAAAATATTAGTAATGTGAACTTAGTATACATTATAAATACTGCACATGCGATTCATATGTTTTCACTTGATCAGAATGAATAAGAAGCTTTTTTAATAAATAAATATTATTTTTTGGTCAAGTTTCTTTCAGACCTTATCGACAAAATATTATTATTTTTTTGTTTTTCTTAAAATTATTCATCAAAATGTAAATTATTATTAAGTTTTAGTAAAAATTAGCAGAAATATACATAGTAATCTTCAATCATATATTTTTTGGTTTAAAAAGTGTGATATATATGTCACTCTACATACATTAGTATACTATTGCGTATATCGATATAATGCAAAAACAAAATGTGATATATGTCACTCTCCATCATGATTGTCACGTATGCCACCGGTTGAACCATTCAACCGGTACCGGTCATGAAATCGACATGACACCATCAGTATGACCGGTATGATCGTTTTACGAATTTCTAAGTAAAATACGTAGTTTTAGTGAATTTAAGTATGAGTACATGTAATTTTAGTTGAAATATCATATTTTATTCAAATATCAATATGAATTGTACATAAATTGCCTTTAAATATGGTCTATATATGATTAAATTCATTTTATATTAATGATTATTTATATTTCTACATATTTTATTAACCGGCATGAACCGACACAAACCTCTTGTACCACTGGTAAAACCATTCCACTTGCTAAACCGGTTTGATAACCTTTCTCTCCATATATTATTTATAGATATAATGCAAAAACAAAAGCAAAATAATTATTGGATAAAAGACAATTAAATATTAAATGAAGAGAGAGGGACAACTCCACAAATAAGTCAATAACTATTTTTTTGGTAAAAAATTTATCCACTTTGGCAACTTGAAATCTCCCCAAATGCTTATGTGGCAAAAATTTAATTTTGAATTACCATAATATTATATATAGATAGATAGATAGATATAGATAGATAGATTTGTAGATCATCAAAAGATTTTTGTACGTTAATTATATTTTTCTTTGTTTTTTGCTCTTAATCAATTACTTCAGTTCTATACCTCTTCGATAATCTTATTCTTCTTCCTCTTATGTGATTACCAATTGCATCTATCCTCTCTTTCTTTAGAGCGCCAGCAGAGGAGGAATTTGATTTTGGAAGTGTTATAATCCATAATGAATTGCGGTCAAACATGCGGTGCGGTCTAAACCGCACTAAACCGCTAATTAATGCGATTTGGTTTGACCTCATTGATTGTATTGCGTTCGAACCTACGGTGCGTCCAATTGACATGCGGTGCGATGCAATGCGGTTTATTCCAATGTGGTGCCGGTGTGATTTGAACCGCACCAATGCCCACCCCTAGCACCGAGAGGTGGATATAACAAGCATCTCAATTCTCAACGATGCACTTGATATGGAATGCCTAAAACGAGTCACCATAGAGCCCAAGCTTCAAAATAAACATATTAACACTTTTGGGTAGCCAGTATGATGAGCAACGGAAAACAATGTTTCAACAACAAACTCTACTGCTCTAGCATGAAAGGTTCGAGATATCCAGCTCAATATCTCAATTTAAGATGACTAAAAGTTAATTACTTATTTTATAGGAGCCCACGTATTTTAATAGGACGATTATAAATTCGTAGGGTCGTTTCGAAATTAGGTTAGCGTACGTCTGAACATATAAGTAGATTGGTTTAGACGAGCGTACATTTGAACATATAATTGTGTCAGTTTCAATTAGATAGTAAGAAAATAAAGCCCATTCATTACCTTTTGAGTTTACTTACACTCACAAAAATATCATTTTCAATTGTCACCATATTCAATTAAATCAGATTCTAAGAGAAAATATTCATAGATATTGATATTTTGCCATTCCTACAATTAGAGGTTGTTTGCTTGATAGATTTGGTGAAAGATTTGATGATGGATTTGGATCCATGAATGACTTTGTCCAAAATCCATTGTTTGCTTCAAGTATTTAGAGGTAACAAAACCGTTGGACCCATGAACTTTGAGGGTAGAAATCCGTGGGCCTCACAGACTTGAAAATCTCAACTCTTTTGGTGGGAATTTGATCATGGACTTTGAAGTTCATCATTTTTTACCAATCTACCCCTCATATTTTCTTTATCTTCATATATCATTGAGGATAATAAATGTAAATTTCATTTAATATATACAAATTTAATTAACAAATCTCATCATGAAATACATCAAACAAACAATATCAAGTCCATAATGAACCAAAAGGCAAAAACCCTCATATATCCATAATTTTTCAAGGATGTTCTATAAAATGAAGGAGCCGACGGCGAAGAGCAAGAGCGACTGCTTTTCGTTGAAATGTCGCGATAAGAGGCCTGACAAGTATGTGTACGGCTCGCCCAAACTTGACAAGAACTGGTTTGAGCGGTTCTTTTTTGTGAAACCCGCTCCCGTGTAATGGGCGAGCGAGCATGTTGATGAGCCGACCGTCTGGAAGGATGGGAGCGTGAAGGGGTTCAAGTCAGACGTGCGAGCTTATGACCGCCTAGAAGCTGAGTACGAGATGCTGCTTGAGAATAAGATTGATCATTACCATAAGGGAGTCTGTGCGGCTCGGCTGGCGGAATTGTTCGGCGATGGTTAGTTGTCTTCAATTATCTTTGTATTCTGTAATATTAATGGCCTTCTTACGACTTCCTGTTGCAGGTGTTGACTACTTGACTGTGGTTAGTATGATGTCCGTGGATGATGTCGTGAAGCCTCGCAGGGAGAAGAAGAGAAAGGAGGTGCATCGTCCCGAGGCGGCGGAGAGGGTGAGCAAGGGTGCCCGTGTTGTGGAAAAGGTGTCGCACCAGACTATTGAGAAAGAGGTGTGCGTAGGTAAGCCTCCGCGCCCAGATAAAGCGGTCGTTGGTGGCTCGTCTAGGCATGTTGTGGAACAGACATTCTGGTGCCGCCTCTTCCCTGAGTGCCGCACAGAGTGCTTTCAATACTTTGGGGCCCGTGCTGAACATTCCTCCGTAGATGGAGAACAACGATCCGCTCCATTACCTTGCCCAGATCCACTTTTTCATAAGTATCTTGTATGCCATTGGACGTTTATTTTATCTTGTAATTTTTGCCAAGGCATATGGCGGTTTTGCGATGTAGGGTTTGCTGGCCACCTTCTGCACCCAGCAAGAGAGAGCTAGTGATACCGCCGCGTAAAAGGCGGAGTTGGACAAGAGCGTCCAGCTCGAGGGCAAAGTGGCGAGGGCTGAAAGTCATGCGAATGATGCGATAAAGAAGGCGAATGAAGCCATGGAATGACTAGGGCTGCTACAGAGTAAGCTGACAAAAGAAGTTGCTACAGCCAAGGAGTGGGCTCGAGCTGAGGAGCTGGCCGCCATCCGCGAGGAAGTGAAGAAAGAGTACGTGGTGGAGTTACAACGGGTAGAATCTCAGCGTGCCACCGAGAAGCAACGTCTTGAGATGGATCATGCTGAGATGCTTAAGAACCTCCATGAGGAGTTCCGCCAAGAGAAAGAATCCCTTGTCCGCGTGCATGAGGTGGCGAAGGTGGATGTTGTACGCGAAGCGCAGACCTATGTTATCCGCCACTATAGGGGCAACGCCGCCTTCAATCGTATTTTGGCGGACTTTATGATCAAGGAGGTCATAGCTGTACGCAAGAAGGTGCGGTCGGA